ACCATCTCGCCGCCGTGTCAGTCAGTGCAGTTGGAACAACACGTTCGAGCACCACCTTATCATCCAAACCCATCGCTCTCTGATAGTGTGGTGTACACGTATCCCGAGGGAGTACGGCCACCAGCGTGGGTCCGGTCTTAGCGAGCCGCAGGGCACGCGTTAACCGTCGCCGTGGCGAGAACACGATACTGCTCAAATCGCAACACTTTATTGTGGCAACACCAAACGCAGGACAGCCCGTTGCAAAAAGGCGCGGCGGGAAAGCAAGCAGGCTTATCCACGCCACGGGCACAAAGTACTACACAGGGTGCCACGAGCACGTTTCCGCGGTAAAGGTGATCCACGGAGACACCGGAACAAAGGCCCGGTTGCTCGAGCGAGGGCAAAGGCGCTCGCGTTGGCTTCAGAGGGAGACGGGTCGGCGTAGCTAAGCCATGCACTAGGACACCGTACTGCCCTTCGGCCGTGAGTACGCAGCGGGACAACAAAAGGTGAGCGTTCGCCTCGGGCGCGAGGCGCCGTCGGCGAAGTCCGACGAGCCCGAGCGGCGGGACACGACGGACGGAAAAGAATGCGTGGCTCACCGTTTGAAGTCCCGGAGAGTCCCGAAGAAGTCCCGGAGTTTGAAGTCCCGTTGAAGTCCCGGAGGTGCCTCGCGGGTTATTCCCGCGAGGCACATCACAATTAAATTCATGACATTGCATTTAACGTCGTGGACAGCTGCAGGACTCACGGTCATACGTGTAGCTTTGAAGTTTATAGAAAGAACCTTCAGGAACTTGGTCTAACTTCTCGGACTCGAAGGCAGCTCTTCAATGTTTATGTCACCCTCTCGCCATGAACCTATAATTAACAGTTAGTAGCTGAAATAAGGCTGCTTCATCACCAAGCCATCGAGAAACAGCACAGCATAGTGTATCAGTGGATACCAGGTCGTTGCGGTATATAAGGCAGGGACCGCGCAGATGAGGCCATCTGCACACGATGGTACCCAATACAAGGTCGTCCCGTTCTCAGGGACCGACGCAGCTACACGACTTCGTTCGCTTGCACGTAATCTCACTCTGGTACAGTGAAACTCAACAGAATTCACAAACGGGCGCCTGCATAACTTGGATCCCGATATGCAGCTTCGTCTTCCCTCAGGGATATCTTCATCTGAGGAGACTCTTCTATGCCGCCTGTGGCTCGGAGAGGCCTTCACAAACACATACTCCTATGTCATTAGAATGGCCAGCTCTTCTGCATGCACGTACTGCAGCTGCAAAGAAACCATGGCGCACCTTCTATGCGAGTGCACCCATTTCAACGTGACAAGACAAGAACTGACTGCAGCTATGGATAGACTGGATGATCGGCCTTTGTCGGAACAAAAGATTCTGGGTCATTGGCCGAGCCCATCCTCAGCCCAGAAGGCTTTGAAAGCTCTGCTACGCTTTTTGCGGAGAACTGGCCTCAGAGACAGACTTAAGTGTCTTATACTCTTTCATGTGGCCTTTACTCTGTCGCTATTTTTTTTGTAATTTCTCTCTCTCTCTCTCTCTCTTCGCAACACTTATATTTATCATCTTTTATTCCCCTTACCCCATTCCCCAGCACAGGGTAGCCAGCCGGTTTGAGAACTGGCTAACCTCCCTGTCTTTCCGCTTAAATTTTCCTCCTCCTCCTTCTCATTGCATAGGGAACTGCGGAAATCACCCGCATGCTTAGATTGACGCACACGTTAATGGGACGTTAAAGTAAAACAGTAAAGGTGTGTAGACTAACAAATTACAAAATGAAATCTCTATGGCTGGTAAATTCAAAACTATTGGATGAAATACCGACACAAGGATTTCATTTGTGAAAGTATTAGGTCTAAGCTCTTTAACGCAGGCTGATTTCTGCATCATAAGTTCATTAACAGAAGAGAAAAACACAAGTTTCACTTTTAAGTTTATTGCTCCAATGTACAATGGTGACGTCACAAATTTCATTTATAGTTTTTTCTTTTTTTGTCACATTCACACAGCGAAATATTCGGTAACTTGGTATGTTCAGCGTCTGGCTCCCTCAAAAAGGAATTTACTATATTTTTACTGATTTAGGTCTACGCAGTGTTTAGTAGACGCCATCACAGCAACTGTTGCGGAAACTTCGAAGTGGCGTAGCCACCCACGTTTTTTTTTTTGTGGCTTTTTTCTTTTTGGTAAAAGCCATCTACTAGCAACCATGGTAGTTTTGGTAATTTTGAAAAAAAGTATTTAACCTATGTGAGAAATGTTGTTTAGTTCTTAGTCCCTTTAAAAAAATCCAGGTGGTTGAAATTATTCTGCAGTCTTCTACAATGGCATGCCTAAACACATATAGTGGTTCTGACACCTAAAGCCCCAGTATATATTATTATTATTATTCCTCGTCCACTCACGTCACGTATTTATAATACCAAATTTCTTATATGTAAAGCGAGCAAAACGGCCGTGAGCACGCTATGAGCGTAGCATCTAGTGATGCTTGACATGACATGCATACCATGATTATCATGTTTGCAACAGTCACATACCTTTTTCATACATTCACGTCACGTAACACCAAATTTCAAATATTTAAAGCAAGCGAAACAACTGTGAGTGCAGTATGAGCGTATCATGTAGTCATGTTTCACATGATACACATGTCAAACTATCATGTTAGAAGCAGTCATTTAACTTCGTCATCCATTCACGTCCAGTAATACGAAATTTAGTATATGTGAAGGCAGTGAAATACCGTGAGCGCACCATGAGCATGGTGTGTAGTAATCATTTCCATGACATGCATGTCATGGTTTCGCCATCAGAGTTTGTCGCTTGTATTCGCCCGGCAGTCATGTCATACCAATTCAGTCTTGCCATATATCATAAAAACAAACCCATCGTAAGAGCAGCGAGACCATGAAATGTAAATCATGACAGCCATGACATACGTGCTATCATTGTCATGTTTTGACAAGTCACTTATGCTCGGCATAGAGTCATGTTATGGAATTATAAATTTAGTATAGGTACATTTATCGATGATGATGATGATGAAAAACATTTATTATAAAAGAGAGAGGTACGGGGCCCGGAAAGCTAAATGTCGTAGCTGCATAGGCAGACAGACGCATAGATAGATAGATAGATAGATAGATAGATAGATAGATAGATAGATAGATAGATAGATAGATAGATAGATAGATAGATAGATAGATAGATAGATAGATAGATAGATAGATAGACAGACAGACAGACAGACAGACAGACAGACAGACAGACAGACAGACAGACAGACAGACAGATAGATAGATAGATAGATAGATAGATAGATAGATAGATAGATAGATAGATAGATAGATAGATAGATAGATAGATAGATAGATAGATAGATAGATAGATAGATAGATAGATAGATAGATGCGGTCAAGGTCGCTGAAGTACGCTAACAAATGTATTGCATTTGCCGACAACGCACTCGAGCGCAATCTTCAAGGTCTCATTAAAGCGGTACAATAAAGAATGGCTTCGTATCTGCATGTTCACCGCAAATGTCGCCGAAAGACGATAGTCTTGCGTCTGGAGAAAGGGAAGAAACCGTTTGTTTGATGATCTGCGCAAGAAATTTGGTGAATGGTATTCTGGAGGCGCTGCGTTAGAAAGTCTCGAGCGTGTACCGGAGGCGAACGAGCACATCATGTCACGCCACACGTGAGACACGAGCGCTATCTGGCAGTTATCCCGGAAAACGGAGCGCGTGCTGTGCGCGCCCGTCTCGAAGGCGATAAGGTGTAGAACGCAAGGGGACGGGTAGGTGCCACCACCATGTCATCTTACAAAAGCGTTGGAAACACTTGCCGTTTCATGCAAGCGTTGGATGGCCAGCGCAGCGTTATAAAGGCTGCAATGCTTGAAATTACTTACGTATGCCTTTTCTATTAGAAAATACACATACCTAATATTGCCACGTTGTTATGGTGCCTCAGATATGCGCAATAACTGCTTTTTAATTGACAATCGCATAAGTACGAACGCTTAACATTGAGCATTATTGGTGGGCGCTGCGGATGGGGTCGGCCGTTTGGTGGAGTATCGTTTGGTCACTTTGGGTGCCGTTTAAGGTATTTTTAAGGGTAGATGCTTGTAACGGAGTGATGTAGGTCGTGAAACATAGATGTGCCGAAGTGTATGTACCCTGTTACTGGAATGGTATGAAGCCTTTGTGTTCTGTACATACTGTAAATAAACTTTTTTCTAAACAACCCGCAAGAAAGTAAGCCCCAGGAGGCCCACGGGATGGCTTTAAGATCTCCCATAGTAGAGTACCAAGTGCTCTAAAGCGTTAACCACTTTTTCTTAAGACACAGACAGAGAGACCAAAATGTTTGCGTGGAAGGTCCCCAAGAAAGACTGTCGTCTTTAAAGCCTTCGGAGCTCAGCGTGCATGCACCATTTGTCTACTCCCTTGCCGCTAATCGGCGGAGTTTTCCCGCTGAAACGACCGAGTCGGCAAGAACTTACACGAAGCACAAATACTGGCGGGCACGTGTATTGACATAATGATAAATCCGCCAGGGCGTACGATCTCCCTGCTACGCCTGACCTCATACGAATAACGCAACAAATAATCATGTCGTATTGCTACTACGTTCTTTCTTTTGTCTCAGGTTTTTGTATGAGCCTGAGAGACAGTTAGAGAGAGAGAGAGAGATTGCAGGTGACTCGGTGTACCTCCACGTGCATTCACCTTTTTTTGCAGTCGTTGTTAGTGTGTGTATGTGTGAGAGAGAGAGGGGGGCTGTATAGTGCCAGCAATTCATTATCACTCTGTGTGCGTTAACCTTCATCCACATGTACCTCTAGACTGCGAGGAACAACGAACGGAAAAACAGCTGTATCTCGATTCATCGCGTCAACGGTCGAGCAAGTTGGAGGCGTTTGAGAGAGAGGGAGGCGGTATAGTGCCAGCAATTCATTATCACTCTGTGTGCGTTAACCTTCATCCAAATGTACCTCTAGACTGCGAGGAACAACGAACGGAAAAACAGCTGTATCTCGATTCATCGCGTCAACGGTCGAGCAAATTGGAGGCGTTTGAAGGTGCCTTCTCCGTTTTTCAAGAGCGAAAGACGGTGTGCAGAGCATATGAAGGTCCGATCCACGTTTTAAATCAGGACCAGTTGAATGCAAAGCTCCGGCTTGGATGTTGCTTCACATGGGAGACGTCAATATGGCTCAGGTTCTGACGGACTGGAATTTTACTGTTACCGTCGCGGTCATGGTGGTCCTTGCTACCGCATTGTACAAGTAAGTTTTGCGCTGTGTCCGGTATTTAATTGGCTCGCAATGTGTCAATTGATAATGTTCAATCTTGGGAAACAAAAAAATGTGAGGGGACAGTACTGTGTCCTTCTGTAAATTGTGGGAATACCAATTTTAACTTTCCTGGCAGCTACATCTCTTGAAAAGTAGAAAAAAAAAACAATGGCCACTTGTGTCCGCAAAGGTAATATGCTTTTGCTAAAACACCGGTCATTGTTTAAGGTAGTAAAAACTTTTGCTGGGTAATGGTGAAAGTCGATACCTTCGTATCAAGTAATCATTGTTAATTATTATCATGCTGTACGTTAAAACTTAGGGCATGGTCCCTCGCGCGTGGACGCTTATTTCGTGATAAGCTCGGTTTGTATGTATGTCTGGGCTTCCACCCGAAACTTTGTGTTGAAGTTAGAGAAAGCGCGAAGTTCTCTTGCTGCAGTGGCCCAACTCGCGAAACCAGCTGCTCACACACAAACTGACATGTACATCAGTTAGTTCGCGTTCATCCTGTGTATATTTTTGCGTTCGTTCCGTGCGTCTTGTTTGTATGAGCAGAGTGCTTTAAGGGCCGAGCAATGAAAGGCACTGCGAGTTCCCTGTCGTCTAGTGTATGTCTTCTTTGTGCCTCCTTTCTGCTTGAGGAAACTGTTGCAGGTTTTCAGTGGCTCGCCATTCTTCACGTTCCATCACAACTTTATTGCTGCAACAGTCATTCCTTCAACCTTGTGGCCAAACAGTGCACAATAAAAGCTCAACTACTTATGTGAATGCATGTTTCACTTACGTGAGATACGGATTGATAAGAACGCGCGATCAGTCAGGTTCTTTTCTCTCTAATACTAACCTAACTGCGAGTTTCGTGCATCTTTGCTTGACGTGATTCGTTTTCGTTGCGGATTAACAGATGGCGCCTGTGGAAACTTAGCTTGTTCAAGCGGATGGGAATCCCTGGCCCTACGCCCCACTTGATCACCGGGAACTTCGACCAGTTGTGGACTAGCGTGAGTGAATTAGTCCAACCGAATTAACGCTGTAGCATCATGATGATGGGGAAGTAAACTATGTAGAGGAGGAAGCAGGGAGGTGGTTTAACCTGACATAGCTGGATATTGTTTTGCCATAAAAATTCATGCGTAATTAGCCCAGTTTCTCGAATAAGGTGCGTCGAAGATTTTACACAAACTTTAGGTAACTTCTTTCGCACAACAGGATCTGTCAAAAAAGAAAAAAAAGAAGAAAGAAAGGGATAAGAGAGGAACCCAAGAGAGAGAGAGGTACTACAAATAATCAGGCTGAGTGACATTTGACGGTTACAAGAACCACTGGTCAAGACGTGAGCACATTGTAAGCTACTATGACTGAACCCATCAGGATCTATCATACCACAATACATTTACAGCGTGTTCTTTTTGAACCAAGTGACACAGACAGACAGACAGACAGACAGACAGACAGACAGACAGACAGACAGACAGACAGACAGACAGACAGACAGACAGACAGACAGACAGACAGACAGACAGACAGACAGACAGACAGATAGATAGATAGATAGATAGATAGATAGATAGATAGATAGACAGACAGATAGATAGATAGATAGATAGATAGATAGATAGATAGATAGATAGATAGATAGATAGATAGATAGATAGACAGACAGACAGACAGACAGACAGACAGACAGACAGACAGACAGACAGACAGACAGACAGACAGACAGACAGATAGATAGATAGATAGATAGATAGATAGATAGATAGATAGATAGATAGATAGATAGATAGATAGATAGATAGATAGATAGATAGATAGATAGATAGATAGACAGACAGACAGACAGACAGACAGACAGACAGACAGACAGACAGACAGACAGACAGACAGACAGACAGACAGACAGATAGATAGATAGATAGATAGATAGATAGATAGATAGATAGATAGATAGATAGATAGATAGATAGATAGATAGATAGATAGATAGATAGATAGATAGATAGATAGATAGATAGATAGATAGATAGATAGATAGATAGATAGATAGATAGATAGATAGATAGATAGATAGATAGATAGATAGATAGATAGATAGATAGATAGATAGATAGATAGATAGATAGATAGATAGATAGATAGATAGATAGATAGATAGATAGATAGATATTATGTTATTGATGCATTCATTTATTTGTTATACCGACTGATGGACTGACAAATATTCGCTCCTTTTCTTCAAATGCCACAGGACACAGTAAAGGTGATGGATAACTGGTCGAAACAATACGGTGACATGTACGGGTAAGGATGTTACCTCTTCTTGCTGATTGAAATGTTCTTGAGCTTCGAAGTATTGCGGTCACCAGCAAGCTTTTTGAATTTGACACAATGACAGTGAATGAATAACTTTTCCGAAGCAAGTTCGCGCTGTTCGTGGTTCTGTCGCAGAGAGAGCGAGATGCTAAGAGCTTTCTTTGATTTTTTTAACAGTGTGTATATTGATGCAAAGCAGACACCATTTTGAAACTGCAAGCGTAGACTCGTGCACGCTTCAAAAGATTATTGCCGCACTTATAAAAGAAGAAGAAAAAACATTGATGCGTAGGGCTCCAGTGACGGGGAATTTATCGAATGCAAGAAATGAAATATTACTCAAGGGCATTCCAGGATTATTGCTCTACTGCTAACACCGCTGTGTGGAGGGTTCACGGGCTCTTGAATTAATCTGCTCAATACAAAAAATAGCAACAGTGGTCAACTTCATTTCAGATATGTCTATTTATTTATTTATTTATTTATAAGAATACCCTCAGGGCCCGTAGGGCATTACAGAGGGGGTGGGTACAACATTTATAACACACAAGAAAAAAAAGACAAAATAAAGAAACAAGTGTCAGATGCGCAAATCAGGAAGGCAACATAAGTCAACTAAAAATGCATAACTTATGCATAAAAATGCATAAAAATGCATAAGTCAACTAAAAATGCACAAGTCAACAAAAATGCATCTCGCATCGTTGTTTGTTATTGATTAACAAAAAATAGTTTTTATAATTATTGATACTACCACAATTATCATTAGGTCATACCTCAATCAGACATGTTTTTTTTAATTTTTATGTTGGCACAAAACTGCACATTCAATTAAATTTTGGCATGTGCTCACATTCTCGACAGTACGCGTAAAGAAAAAAATGGCAGCATATCCACGGGGTGAATGATGGAGAGTAGGGCGAAGCATCCGTCCGAATGATATGTGGGGTTTAACGTCCCAAAACCACCATATCATTATGAGAGACGCCGGAGTGGAGGGCTCCGGAAATTTCGACCACCTGGGGTTCTCTAACGTGCACCCGAATCTGAGCACACGGGCCTACAACATTTCCGCCTCCATCGGAAATGCAGCCGCCGCAGCCTGTATTCAATCCCGTGACCTGCGGGTCAGCAGCCGAGTACCTTAGCCACTAGACCACCGCGGCGGGGCGAAGCATCCGTCCGTCCATTCGTTCTTGCTTCCGTCCGTCTGTGCGTCCCTCTGTGTGACCATCATGCGTCCGTCTATGCGTTCAACCATGCATCCGCCCCTGCGTCCGTCCATGCGTTCATTCGTCTGTGCAGCCAACCGTGCGTCCTTACATGCATCTGTCTGTGTGTCCGTTCGTCCATCTAGTCAGCACTCCAAGTACCACCATCTCGCATCTTTTCATCATATATTCAGCGTATAGAAGCACCGCCCCAACGGGGTGGTCTAGTGGCTATGGTACTCGGCTGCTGACCAGCAGGTCGCAGGATTGAGTCCCGGCTGCGGCAGCTGCATTTCCGATGGAGGTGGAAATGTTGTAGGCCCGTGTGCTCAGATGTGGGTGCACGTTAAAGAACCCCAGGTGGTCGAAATTTTCGAAGCCCTCCACTATGGCGTCTCTCATAATCATATGGTGTTTTGGGACGTTAAACCCCACATATGAATCAATCATATAGAAGCACCGCCATCCAGCGAACATTCCAAGGACTAAACGAGAGGTGGCACACGCACACTTTCTTGCAACGTGCGCTTCGTGTCTACTTCCCGCCTGTAACCACTTCGATTTCATGGTATTTACTAGTTTACTGTATTCATGGCACTCGCTAAACCGCTCACAAAACCTTTCTAAATTCAAGGAGGTTACGCCCAGCGAGCATAACCTAGCAACTCTTTCTTGTCAGAGAGTGCTCAATGTACATGCTAATGGCTGCTAAATGGGAATGAGAGACAGGAGAATTCGCCTTTTAGCTAACGTGGACGCTGCGAACTTTTTATTGTTCAACAATGCACAGGAGATATCTCCCACCGCCTTCACCTTGCAAGCTAAAGCGTAAGACTGGTTACGCAGTATACGACTACGACGAGGGACGAATGGGTGTCGTTTTAAGTAGCTTCGCCCCTAAAACTAGACAGTAGGCTACCGGTTGGTGTTCTGTCATGTTCAGTGTTATCAGGTTAATGGAGTGGCCCATTTGTCCGGTATATAGCAGCAGCCACCGCCGAAACGGACCTAATATAAGACACTCACATGGCAATCAGTGAATTTGTTGGCGTGTTTTACGAAAGAAAGAGCGGTCTGCTTTTCGTCTTTTTCTCTCAGTTATTTTTCTGCACAGTGGCACAAATCATACCTAGCTTATTGACAGTCCTGTAAAAAGCCTGAAAACCATATTTGCCTTCTCATTTTTTTTTCTTAGTGAATGAAGGAAAAATCCTACAGCATATCTACGGAGTGAATGATGATGAGTGGGGCGAAGCGTCCACCAGCTCGCCCATGCTTTCTTCCGTCAGTTCGTTCTTACTTCCGTCCGTCCTCATGACCATCCGTGCGTCCATCCATGTGTCCACCCCTCCCTCCATACGTCCACCCATTCGTACGTCAGCGCGTCCGTCCATCTGTCCGCCCGTTTTCTAGTCTGTCTGTCCACCCGTCCGTCGGTTCATCCAGTGAACACTCCAAGTATACCGTCATCTCGTATCATCTGTGGCACACACCCGCTACGCGCGTTCATCCATCTGTCCATCCGTCCGTCTGCTAGTCTCTCTGTCCGTCCGTGCGGTTATGTGCCACTGGTGGCTACATACGACAACGGAGGATGGACAGACCCAGAGGATGGTTAGACGACGGAGGATAGAAAGAATCACAAGAGAGAAGGCATGGAGGTTAACCAGGCACATGTCCGGTTGGCTATATAGGCTGGCGGAAATGGTGAGGGTAATAAAGAAGAAAGAAAAAGAAAGGGGAAGGAGAAAAAAAACAAGAAATTCGTCAGTTAATGGGCTCACGCGTATGTAGTGGTGGCGCTATACAAATGTCAAAGGTGTTCCCGTGGGCCCATAGTCCACAAAAAGTGCAGTGAGCTTCCTCCTGTGACTTCCTGCAGCCATGCTCGGACTTGACATAACAAACTTCTTTAACCGTTCAGTGACAGTGGCCACGGATAGAGGCAACGGGATCGCCTACATCTAAAAGACGCGTAGCCTGTGCGTTAAAGATAACTCATTTTGTGGTCGCACAACTCTATGACGGCTGACTTTAGGCAAGACGTGGCCGATCGAACGTGTAACTATTGTCCATCTTTTACAACTTTCCAGTGCATCCCCGACAAGTTTAACTGCGGTTTTGACGATCTTGGAGAAGATTGCCAGTGTGCATGGTTCTTTTCAAAGGTTGACACAATGAGCAAATTAATTAGCTACTAGCTCACCTCTCTCAATCTAACGAGAAATTTCTATCATCGGTTCTGCCAATTTGATCCAGCGTGAGCCAGGGTTCGCAGTGTTTCCGTTTAGCACTGTTTTGTTTAGCATTGTCATTGCGAATGACCAATTTGCGGTAGCCTGAACAACGCAGCGGTGCGCACCGATGCTTGCGACGCCAGGAAGCACCTGATTCGTGTCTATATAAACGATGGCGCTTCGCCGTCAGCCTAAATAGCAGCAAGCATGTGCCACATCAATCACCGGGCGAAGTGTTGATAACCGATGATTCGAGTGCTTTTGCAGCTGAGTATTTTTACTGGTGAACAAAAAATTGAAGCCTACAGAAGTTCCATCAGTTTCATTTCTCCGTGGCTCGTTTGTCAGCAGCAGTCCACGTAGCGTAATCGTTGTGGCTGACAAATCCCTTCACCAGCATTCTTCCCGACGATGTCGAATAACGTGACTGGTCATAAATGGGACGACTGAACAAATGTGTCCGACCCTATCTGGAGTATAACTCGTTGCGCCGTTGCCCAGCATCCGCTTGGCTCAGTCAAATGATGGGACGTCGCGCCAAGCCACATGTGTGCCGGGGACAGTAGCTGCCCGCCGACCACACCGGAACACTCGCATACGCAGATGAGGAACAACTGAGCGAGTCATAGAGAAACATCTGAGCAAGCCATCACCCCGTGACTCGTGCTCGTGCCCACCGCCCCTTCTTCCTCCTTTACTTGCAACACCCGGTATGCTTCAGGCAAAAACTGTGCGTCCATTGCACCCGAGCCATTTTTTTTATGCACCGTTTCGACACATTCGTTGTGATGGGTCATCGTAACACGTATTGTACACCCAAGGCTGCATTTTACAAACTGGCAGCTATGCGGGAGAGACAACAGCAATTACAAGCTGAGCCCAAGTACACAGAACCTCGCCTAGTGAAGCTTATTCATGGTGTATCCAAGAACCACGTTGTCATAACCTTGAAGCAGTCAAGTCGAACTCGGTATAGCATAGCGAATTAGGAGAGCGACTAGCTTCACCTTACACTAAGAAGCGGAAACAGCGTACTTTTTTTAATGTCTTTGTTTTGCAAAGCCGAATCGTTGACTGCAAAAACAATGTGTTCTTGCCACTACCCCAGGATCTACAACGGCGACGCACCCTTTCTCATGGTGAAGGACCTAGAGCTGATTCAGCGGGTCTTTATCACAGATTTCTCCCTCTTCATGGATCGTGGGGTGAGTGTGTGCTCCAAATGATAAAAGAATGTCTTTGTTTGGAGTTTCAGCGTGATTTTAGGACGTTAAACCCCACATATCAATCAGTTTCAGCGTGATGTTCTAATTGAAATGAGGCTTCATAACTGAGTAAGTCAGTTTATGCCTCGTTGGGTTCGCAAAATCAGCGCGTTCAGCATAGAGTGCAGGGGCTGCACGCTCATGCACACTAATACGCTTTAATTAAAAAATACAGCGCGTGGTGTTTTAAGGTCAGAAAGGACAGTATGATTATTAGAGACGCTGTAGTGCAGAACTTTAAAAAATTCCACCATCTGGTGTTTTTTTTTAACGTGCACTAGCATCTGCAGTATTGAACCTGCAACCCTTGGGTCAGTAGCCGACGTTGCTTTGGCGAAGCTCAGTTTGAGCGTGAAGGAAAGACACTATGCAGTCAAGAAGGGGAAAGAGAGATGACAGTGCGAGCGCTATCATGCACCGACTCGCCCAGTCAGCAGTACTCGCCTGAATTTCCCTTTTTTCGGTAGCGAGTTAACCACTCTGCCTTTCTTATATCGAGGCGCACTGAAGGATCTCGATACCATGAAGCCCATCCTAGCGAGCCTTTTTTTATCATCATGCAACGCACTGCACTTCTTTAAGACAGCCGAAGGCTTAAATGATGATCTCTGTAACTCTCACAGTTTATCACCTTCAGGGCATGCGCGGTACATGCGATGTTGTGCGTGCTAGTGTATAACACTGCCACTATTTCCTTCTTTCCTTATTTATTCTTTCCTTGCCGTCTCCCCCTTTCTCCGCATAGGGTAGCCACCTGGTGCAACCTGGTTAGTCTCCGTGCCTTTTTTTTGCTTTTTTTCTCTCTATTTTTTTCTTGCGAACGACGTCTACTGTGCCGGGCAGCTCTTGCAGCTTCTCAATGAGAAAACGAAGTGGCAGTGCTAGCCAAGTTGTAGCATCAACATGAAACGTTCCGACTTCATATTCTCCTCGCTTGCTTTCGCCGCCGAGCAATGAAGACGTATGTCCTTCCGTGTATTCCAGTGATTGTGGTTTTCGAAACGAACATAAAATTTACATTTCGTTTACCTGTGTACGTCCATCTCTCGTCTCGTAGCGATTAACGTGCAAGCAAAGTTTAATGTATTTCTGTACGCCGCGATCTAACGTACGTGAGACACGACATTACGCCACAAACCACGAATGATTACGTATGCTTCACGATAAAACAGAAGAGGTTGACGTTCTCAGTACTTTGAGGACACATCCATTCAAGTGCGAAGATCAACTGCTTCCATTTTAGGTTTATACTTCAGACTGCACAGAGCCCCCCACCCCACTCATTTTCATTGGAGATTCAAAAGCTCACCATCCCCTATTAAGTAGCACTGTAATGAATGGCTGGGGCAGATATTTATGCGACTTCATGTGTATAATATTGGAAGAAGAGTGCTGAACTACGGATCACCCACAATCATTCAGGAACTTTTTACAGCAGCTGCCTCGATCTTACGTTTGTATCCAGGTGTTTCCTGCCTTCTGCAGCTTGGTAACATACTCGTGGTAATGGCCACTTGTCAACCTACGTTCAGTTTAAGTGGTTCCGCCGTTTAGCCCCACGCTGCGTTCATTAGACGGAAGGGAGTTTATTCAAGTCATCTCTGAAAACCATCTGTCAGCGCACAACTACACCATGCTAAGTAAAAGACATAATTGTTTCGCCCCTGCGTGACACAAGACAAGTTGCCATTCCGCTGCAGCGGTCAGATATCGACTTAAAATACGAGGCATTTCATGTTGTCTGTTGGCACGCAGAATGGTGGCCCAGAAGAACAAGATCACTGTAAGACATTTCAGCCTTTCAAGCTAAACGACACGTTCTTCGGCATCTTGACAAGCTCTACAGGTAGCGATTGAGGAAATTCTGTGGATCTCTGGACTAACCACGGCCTCTCTCTAAAATCTGGCGTGTATTACAAAGCCTGCTATGATGAATGGATTGATGAACTCTATCAGGTCCTTCCGAACATGCTTTAGCACGTTGTGGGCCGCTCCCGCGTCATAACAGATAGACCAAGTTTGCACTCATCTCCACATGAACTTTGGCCGTTCTGTGCTGTGGCTCTCCATCAGGGAATCGTAGGTATAGCCAAGAAATAGTGTCTTGTCGAATACTTTTATTCTTTCACATTTATTTATTTATCAGTGTCCCCTCAGCACCAAAAAGAATTATAGAAGGAGGGTTCCACGATATATATATATATATATATATATATATATATATATATATATATATATATATATATATATATATATATATATATATTGTTGCGTACATGCACGAAGAAAAAGAAGCGTATACGGTGAACGCACTTGTGGCCCAGAGCGAGAGAGGAAGAAGAGGATCAGAAGGATCTTTAACCAGTCGGCCGCTTCTGAGCTGCCCCTCGCGACCTAATAAACGGCCCCTTTCAACGTCTACCAGTCTCTTTCAAACGTAACAGAGTGGTGGAGGTGCTGGGTAAGCGCTTCAACTACGGAACGATCACTTCCACAGCTTCGACGAAGCCGTCGACTTGCCGGTCTCCCACTATCTGCCGTGAGTGACTTCGACATGCCCGAAGAAGCAGGCGCTTCCAGGACGGCACCATCTGACCCGCTTCCATACTGCCGAGTTCCACCGCCCTTCGGAGGAAAAGCCGAAGAAGATGTCGACGCCTGGCTCACCAAGTACAAACGTGTGGGCAAGTCCACCGGTTGGGATGCAGCCGCTATGCTAGCCAACGTAGTGTTCTCCCTGACCGACACCGCACTGGTATGGTACGAGAACCACGAGGACGCACTCACGACGTGGGATCTTTTTGTTGAAGAGCTCAGGGCGTGTTTCGGCGACTCGGTTGCTAGAAATAAGCGGGCTGAGCAAACACTGTCGCAACGGGCACAGCTACCAGGTGAGACATGCACCACTTACATAGAAGAAGTGTTAAGGCTGTGCAAGGTGGTCTGTGCTACCATGTCGGAAGAGGACAAAGTTGGGCATCTGCTCCAGGGGATTGCTGAGGATGTGTATAATTTTCTAATTAGAAAAGAAAGCCTCAGTTCTGTGTCCGACGTCATTCAGCATTGCCGAACGTTTGAAACGCTCAAGATGCGTCGAATTGCGCCCAAGTTTGGTCGGCTGGCTAACGTTACAACTGTTGCCAGTGTGGACACGAATCCTGGCCTCGACCTTTTCTCTACCATTCGACAGATTGTTCGTGAGGAACTGTCCCACCGAGAAATGTCATGTTCGACAGCTGACCATCGCGAGTTGTGTCTGCCACGTGAGGCTATGGATGTGCCTCCTTTGACCCCATGGCAACCGACAATGAGCGCGGCAACTGTGGAGTACAGCCCAGCCCCACAGTCAAGAATGGCAACCAGATTTCCCGCGTCGCGGTATGACCGACGCTCTCAGCGCATGCCTCCTCGACACCCGACGTCTTGGTACAACGCACCCAACCAGTACATCCGTCACACAAGAGCAAATGATGACGCTCTAATCATCGACGAGCGACCGACGTTTCGACCTCGGCCGGTGTGCTATTCCTGCGGTGTGCCAGGCCACATATCGCGATTTTGCAACCGTCGGGTGACTCCTCGGTATCACCAACCATGCGACTTTTCACGACCCTTCGAACAGCCTCATGGTGTCCGGCGGCCGGCCCACATACCACCTGATGACAACTATTGGCCCAGCAACTTCCGCAACCACTCCCCGGCATCTGACAGGAGTTTAACGCCCCCACCGCGACCTCGTGCTCATCGTTCTCCTTCACCGCTGCGTCGCAAAGCGCCCTCTTCGCCACCGGAAAACTAGCCAGCGCGGCCAATGGGGGTGAGGTCGCTGGAAACGTGCTACTGAGAGAAATACCTCCTGTGTGTATGTTTAAAAACGAAGTGCGTGTTTTGGTGGATCATGTGCCAGTGATGGCCTTGGTGGACACAGGTGCAACGATTTCCGTGATGAGTGGTTCCTTTAAAGACGTGTTAGGGCGGAAAGTTGTTTTTACCTGGGATGAAACTTCGACGTTGTGTGGAGTGAGTGGAGAGCCATTGCGCCCTATTGGTGTGTGTAGTGCTGAGGTATTTTTGGGAGGCCTTATGATAACCACAAAGTTTGCCATTATTCCTCGGTCGACACATGATGTCATTCTCGGCATGGACTTCTTGCGAGAATGTGGTGCCACTGTAGACTGTCGCACGGGGAAAGTCTTTGTGAGTGGCCAGATGCCTTCAGAACTCCTGGAAACTCCAGCGAATGACCAAACTACGCTGTGTGTCTGTGGAGATACGTTCATACCTGCGTTGTCTACCGTACGTGTTCCTGTTGTTTGTCGCGGCGCTGATTCTGACAGCTTCGATGCGAGCGTAGAACCAATGCACATAAACTGCGTGAAGAAGAATGTGTTGGTTCCCCAATGTGTGGTGTCGATTGATGGCGGAAGAACTGGTCTATGAACTGTAAACTGTTCCTCTGAGCCCGTGACCCTACCCAACGGTTTGAAATTAGCTTCGGTCAGCAAAGAGCACGCGACCTTATCAGTGGTCGAGCTCACAGACGTGCCGGAAGAACGTGACGGAACTGATTGTCACAATTTGGACGGGGCGCTTATGGCAACGATAAATAAGTCGCTTAGCTCAAGCGAGCGCCGAACCTTAATGAATGTGCTGTTGAAGCACGTTTCGGTATTTGACTTTGCGCAGAAGGGCAAAGTAATCCCTATCCCCCTGTCTCGAACGCGCCATACCATCAACACTGGCGCGGCAAGTCCGATTCGCCAAAAACCATATCGTATTTCCCCGTCAGAAAGACAAATTATCAACGACCAAGTGCAGGAAATGATGCAAAAGGGAGTGGTACAAGAGTCAGCCAGTCCGTGGGCAGCACCGGTAATCCTTGTTAAGAAGAAAGATGGATCTTGGAGATTTTGCGTCGACTATCGCCGACTGAATGCCGT